CGTGGCAGGCTCTCTTAACGCAGCTGCGCTCTCTCTCTCTCTTCTCTCTCTCTCTCGTCTCTCTCTCTCTCTCTCTTCTCCACAGTCTTCTCTCTCTTCCTCTGCTCTCTCTCTCCTCTCTTCTCTCTCTCTCTCTCTCTCTCTCTCTCTCTCTCTCTCTCCTCTCTCTCTTCTTCTCTCTCTCTTCTCTCTCTCTCTCTCTCGCTCTCTCTCTCTCTCTCTCTCTCTACTCCTCTCTCTCTCTCTCTCTCTTCTCGCTCTCTCTCTCTCTCTCGTCTCTCTCTCTCTCTCTTCTCTCTCTCTCTCTCTCTCTCTCTCTCTCTCTCTCTCTCTCTCTCTCTCTCTTTCTCTCTCTCTCTCTCTCTCTCTCTCTCTCTCTCTCTCTCTCTCTTCTCTCTCCTCTCTCTCTCTCTCTCTCTCTCTCTCTCTCGTCTCTTCTCTCTCTCTCCCTTCTTATCCCTCCTCCTTTCATTGGACCAGCATTACAGAAGCTGAATTTTAATCGTGGTGTTTGCGTGTAAGATCTATGCAGCCCAGCGACGTAGGCACATGCATTGCTAGGCTCGTTTATGGTGCGGTGCGTGTGACGATGCCTGTGTTCATGTGCCCTCCCTACCTGTGCAGCGAGAAGCAACGCATTGAGTCGGTGGTGGCGGGGGCCGTGAAGCCCAAGTCAGCCGCGGGTGCACCGCGTCGACTGTGGCTACGGCGAAGCAGGAACCACCGCCGGTCCCATCGCCGGCAGCACCGAGCTCGCATCACATTCCTTTCCTCGCTCGCCACGCTCCCTTCGGTGAAGGGCCGTCGCTGCAGAATCAACCCGCGAAGACACCCAGCAGCATTTTTTTTTATCGATTTCTACTACAGTTCTACTACATCTTGAGGCGACGCTGCGGGGGGACGACCAGTGAGTGACGCGAGTCTTAATGTGGATCAGGCCGTTGTGACGGGACGGACCAGTGAGCTGGCGGTTAAAATGTGGCGATCAGGGGTTGGTGGGACGCTGGGGTGGGACGACCAGTGAGCCTGTGTGAGATCTAAGTGTCGGCGATCAGGGCGTTGTGGGGACGCTTGGGGTGGGACGACCAGTGAGTGGTGAGTCTAATGTGGCATCAGGGTTCGTCGGGACGCGGGGACGGTTGGGGCGACGACCAGTGAGCCTGTGAGTCTAATGTGGTCAGGGTTGTGGGGACGCTGGGGGTGCGAGACGACCAGTGGAGCTGGTGAGTCTACATGTGGGATCAGGTGTTGTCGGGGACGCTTCGGCGGTGGGACGACCAGTGAGCTCTGGTGATGTCTAATGTGGGATCAGGGGTTGTGGGGACGCTGGGGTGGGACGACAGTGAGTGGTGAGTCTACATGTGGGATCGAGGGTTGTGAGCGGACGCTGGGGTGGCGGACGACCAGTGAGCTGGTGAGGTCTAATAGTGGGATCAGGCGGTTCGTGGGGACGCTGGGGTGGGGACGACGCAGTGAGCTTGGTGAGTCGAATGTGGGCGATCAGGGTTGTAGTGGGACGCTGGGGTGGGGCACGACCAAGTCGACTGGTGAGTCTGGTAAATGTGGTCATCAGGGTTTGGGAACGCCTGCGGTGGCGGACGATCAGTGCAAGCTGCCTGTTGAGTCTGATGTTGGGATCAGGGGTGTGGGGACGACCGTGAGATCGTGGAGTCTAGATGGGGATCAGGTTGGGCCGTTGTGGGGGACGCGGTTGGGGCGTGGGCGACCAGTGCACGGCTGGTGCGAGTCTAATGTGGATCAGGGCGTGCTGGGGACGCTGCGCGGTGGGGACGACCAGCACTGAGCTGGATCTTCTTTATTTTTAAAGTTATATATTAATTAGAATTTATTACTAGATTAACTATAACAACATTAATCATTATTATTATAATAAGGGCTCTCTCTGGATGTTGTAAAGTTTGAGCCACTAAATAAATTTTTTAGCCACCAAAGAAAAACTATAGCACTTTATCATAATATTTTATGTGCTAAGCGAGGCATAAACAGGTGATGGGTATGGGAAAATAGGTGTATGAAGACGTAAAAATAAAATTATGTAGTTTAGCGTACACAAAACTAGGTTGTTTTATTGAAAGGTCAGTTTAAAATATGACTAGGTTACGGAATTCGTTAATACTTACACGACACTGCAATTTGACGATTTTATTATTCAATCGTAATTTTGTGAGCAGCTAAATCATTCGCCATTTGTATTCGCCACTGAATGTAGTAAAATTGCCAAGCTGTTATTTATTTATCGTATTTCGCGGAGGGGGCGTACGCCAGCGGTAGCCCTGCTATTAGTGCTATATAGCAGAATGGTTCTTACCTCAGGTAGTTCTGGTTTGTGGTCGTTGGTAAGCCGGCGTGCCGTGAAGCTGGTACTGTTCGGCTCGCGTTCACCGAGTACAATCGCACTGTCGCCGACGTGTCCGATGTACACCTTCTTGTTCTTGATGAAGCAGATGCTGCAGGTGGTGCCTGCCGTGCTAGGAAACCCTGAAGCCGTCTTCGCCCAGTTACCTGCAGATATAGAGCGATCGTTCATCATGTACACGGACCGTCGTATCACTCATCCTTAATGATGCCACAAACAATGATGATGATGCCACAAACAATGACCAGTGATGATGCATACAAACAATGATGATGATGCATTCAAACAATGACCAGTGATGATGCATTCAAACAATGACCAGTGATGATACCAGCTCACTGGTCGTCCCCACCCCAGCGTCCCTCAAGATGTAGTAGAAATGTAGTAGAAATCGATAAAAAAAAATGCTGGCTGGGTGTTTCGGGGGTGATTTGCACGACGGCACTCACCGAGGGAGCGTGCGACGGCGAGGAAAGGAATGTGATCGAGCTCGGTGCTGCGGCGGATGGGACCGCGGTGGTTCTGCTTCGGCCGCTGCCACACGACGCGGTGCACGCCTGACTTGGGCTTCACGGCTCCCCCGACCGACTCAATGCGTTGCTTCTCCTGCACAGGTAGGGAGGGCAACATGAACACACATCGTCACACGCACGCACATAAACAGCCTAGCAATGCATGTGCCTACGTCGTGGGCTGCATAGATCTTACACGCAAACACCACGATTAAAATTAGCTCTGTAATGCTGGTCAAGAAAGGAGAGGGAAAAAGGGAGAGAGAGAGAGAGAGAGAGAGAGAGAGAGAGAGAGAGAGAGAGAGAGAGAGAGAGAGAGAGAGAGAGAGAGAGAGAGAGAGAGAGA